CCACTCCGCAGCACCTGGGTTCAAACCCTGGTCAAAGCAACATCGCAAAAAATATAGAAAAAAGGTTTTTCTTAACAGCGGTCGTCCATCGGCAGGCAATGGCAAACCTCCGAGTGCATTTCTGCCATGAAGAACAGCTTCTCACAAAAATACAATCGCCGTTCGGAGTCGGCGTAAAACTGTAGGTCCCTCCGCTTTGTGTGATAACATCAAGGCGCACGCCACAAGTCGGAGGAGAAGCTCAGCTAAACACATATACATATGTATGTATATGTAAGCGTCAATCTATTATTATTATTTTTGCAAATATTTTTGTATATTTTACAATACATAAATGCATGTTGTTTTTGCACTGTTTTGCTTTGTTTGATTTACAACTATTTATATTTTCATTTTTGACAAAAAAAATTATCTATAAATTTTTCCAAAAATTTCATCGAACCACTCTATTTAAACCGTTAATATTTCTATTTAAACAAGATGGTAGCCATGATGAAGAATACACAGGAATTAATAAAGCATGGAAATTAAGAAATTAGTTTTGTCCCTTTTGACAAAAATAATCTTATTGCATACTGTATGTGTGGCAGGCAAATAACAGGTTAAATTTTAAAAGGATTCTTAAAATCCATGTATCAATTTTTGGGCAAAATAAATTAATTTTTAAACATTACTTTTTGACATAAAAGCCCCCACTTAAAACTCTTCAATCAAATACGTATTTTTATTTCTTTAAATAACATAAATTTAATAATAAAAAATGTAGCCTTAGGTGATAGATAGGCAAGACTAGTCTAAGACATGTTAGTGTTGAAGCTTGTTCAAACACCTTCCATTTGAAACCCTTATTGTGTTATTGTTATATTCAATAAGCATAAACTTTTTTAATAAACGTAATTGTAACTTTTTAGAAAGGTGGCAACTTAACTCCAAAATATTATTTTTAATCTCTTCGAACGGGTTTTTTTTATTATAGAAATTGAAGTATGCTGTGGAGCCTTTGAAGCAACCCTATTTTTGTAATTTTTTTTTAGAAAATTTGTACAGAAAATATCAAGTAGAATGGGGAAAAATAGAACAAATCTCTTGAATTGTTAATACGTTTAAAGCAGTAAAAACATCAAAAAATCCAAAATACGCGCCTTGTCGGATTTTTTATAATTTTTGGACAACTGGTACTTTTCGATATGCCAGATTTTGTTATCTTGGATAATAAGTTATACCATAAAAATATTTTTTTTCAGATTGTTTTTGCGTTTAAATAGTCAAGCAACAATTTTTGCCACTTTTTCAGTCTGCTGGCCCACCGTGCAGCAGCACAAATCACATCGGGTCGGATAATGAAATAAATATGTAAATGATGAGAAGTAACAATTTTGCGGGCAGTAAAACACACACACATGCATGTATATAAATATGTAAACATGTACACATGACCATATGAAAGTACTACACTTGTGAGTTGACATTTGTTGGCCAATTGGATTGTGCAGATGTGCAAAAGACCCATAAAACCAGGAACATGTTTAGCTTTCATTTGACCGCATGTTGAAAAAGTCAGCTCTGTAAGAATTGACTCGGCAGTGATTTAAAACAGAAGCGCCAAAGACAGTTTTTACTGTCGAAACTGCTGGTTAAAACAAGTTCATGAACGACGCGTCCAAAGCAGATGGCGGCCATAAACTTTAGCACAATTGCGTGTGCTATTACTTATGTTAAGAAAACATGCTGAGGGATATTTGATGCAGTAGCTTGCGCTAGGATTTTCAACACTTATAAGCATTTTTTCCCCTAACTCAGAAGCATTTTTTTGATTAGTTAAGACATATAATGCAACTTAATTTTTTCATCTAATCACTTCGTACTCTGACTCATGATGGTGTGCTACTTTTAGCTCCGACAACGCTTCAGTTCACAATGCGCTTAAATGTTAAATGATAATGACAGCTCGGCGCAGTGTAGTGAATTGCGAACGTAAATCCATATATACATACAACCACTCATACAGACTGGGTTATATGCAACCATTCTCAACGACTCGAACAAAGCTGCGAAAAGTACAATGACTTATGTCTTAAGTAGCGGAGTAAGTATTAATGGCATATAAAGTAATAATGAAAAGAAGTACTAGCACCGTTGTCACGTGCTTTTTCGACGATTAAATGCATTTCATTGCAATGCCTTAGTATGTATTTTTTGTTGGATAGCAGTAAAATTTTAGTTTAAAATCTTATTGGCACAAAAATATTTAGTCCACTGGTTGGAAGGAAAGCGATGTGGCACTTCATCATGTACACATAATGAGTCAATGGCACAAAGAAGTTAGACGCTTGGTTTTAGTGTACTCTGACATTGCCAAATTAAAGTACGTTTTATATGTACTAGTTAAAACGGTGTTCGAAATTTAAAATTAAGTGAATTTGATTTTAAATTTAAACACCTTGCTGTCAATAATTACGGATATTTGAAAGAAGTGAAGCCTTAAACTATACTATGGATTTATTTAATGTATGGCATTAACAATAACAACCACGCTGTCAAGTTTAAATAGCGACGAATCAGTTGCACTTGATGGCTATAGGTTGAATGATAAAATTGATTAGCAACAAGAGTTTACCTGGTGTGCACAGGTCAGTGGTATGCGCTTCCGTGGTGTGTTGATCTCCGAAATAGCGGCTATAACTTCTACCGCTTAAACTTTATTGTTTGTCCATTTTTCCTAATAAACAAATCGTGGTACAAAGCTCTACAATACTAATGAAAAAAAATAAATATAATTTAAATACAGTTCGGTGACATTTTTTCCCCGGGGCTTACTCACTGACGTGCGACCAGCTGAAGATAGTAAATATATTGAAAAATAGTTTCTTGGCTCATTTTGAGTTAATCAGACCGATTCTGAACAGAAACTCCTTTGGAGTTTTCTATTTTTCCACTTTCCTCCTATCATGAATAAATGGCGCAGTTGAGCTGTCAAAAAATTGTCTAGCAGCTTTTTCGAAGTTCGAATTTCCTCCTCGCGAGTTTTTGGGAAAATGATACTCCCTGGGAGTTAATTATTGGAGGATTTCTTTCTCGGGAGAAACAAATTCTCGGGGAAAAAACTCCCCGGGAATATTAAGAATTGGGCTGAATATCTTTAGGCACAAACCTAGGAGATGATGAGCTTTAGAGGTTTTGAATTCCCCATAAATTTATATTTAATCTTGAAACACCCATCACGATTTTAGTGCGGTACACAGTCTATTTTTGTATTAGGTAACTAGCAGACTCGGCGAACTTCGTCCCGCCCAAAATAAACTCTTTTTTATTGAAACTTTTTGGTCCATCATTTTCACTAACAATTCACGTTTACGATTTTCATTGGCACATTCATCTGCTAAGAATATTGTTTTGGTTGTCATATGCCGTTTTAAAAAACCTAACAGAAGTGTTATGTCCACGAAGAAGTTCTTGAAATTCTCCATTTGTGCAGCATCTCATAGCACGGTTAATTGCAAAACGAAATAAATTTTAAGACCCTTTCCTCTTCACTCCCTAGCGGCAAAAATGATCTGATTCTATAGTGAATCTATGCTAGAAGCTTTATAGAATAGTTGGTAGCAATTTCAAAATGGGTGCGTATCATTGTTCTACAGAAATGCGATATACATATACTCATTTCAAACGAAATACCTTAAACGCTTATACGCATAATAATATTGGCAAATCACATCCATTGGGCCAATCGTAACACAATGGTGCTAAAGGTCGATTTAATCTGACATTCATGGCACCTTGGCGAAATTTAGTAATATCTCAACCAAAGCACCAACTGGCGGGTTAATTTGTCAAACACAAAAAATTTGATTAAAATTCGGACACCCACTTAGAGGAGGATTTCACTCACAAACACACCTACAGAAGAATTATAAATACATATGAGATAGCTAAAAGTCGATACGTTTGTAGGCCCCACGACCCTTTTCAAATAGCCCCATTTTTTCCAGGAGTATGGGCTTGATTCCATATAACCCTTCCAGAGATATGCAGAATGAAAAATTCGCCCTTATATAACGAAATTTTTTTTAGCCTGTAACCATCCTTGGGACGTGTGTGGCAGGTGTGCCAAATTAAAAAAAAAATCGGCTCAGCATTTCTCGAGCTTTGCGAACACAAAAAATGGCTTTAAAATATTTATTAGTATGGCTAAATTAAAAAACTATTTTTTTTCACAGCTACAAATTTCTATTATTCAAATTATCTGCTCAAAATGGTCTCGATTTGCAATAATACAAGCGAGGACAAGCTCGGCGAAACATTAACATTCATTTTATGTAAGCGCCAAATTATTATTATTATTCATAGTCTACTTTTAGACTTGTATGACGCATTTACAAACATTCCTCCCAAATGCACTAAAAAAATGCAAACATTTCTGCCTTGATCATTTCAGAGGCGGCTGTCTGTGACCTGCCTGCAGCAGAACCGCCTACGGGCCAATAATTGGACCAAATTTGCTCAGTTTCACTCATTTCCCTCCTCTACGAATGAATTATAGAAGTTTAGATTTGCTCAGTGCTACCGTTAGTTTAGCTAGACGATAACATTGTAATGCAAAATTATAGCCTTGCAACGATTTGTAGCTATTTTTTCTTTTAAGGCGTATCACATAATTGAGATACCATTGATCACGGATCTGAATAGGTTCGTCTGTTAGTGTGATGGCCAAATATATTTAGGCTTACGATCAAATACAAGCTCTGGCTAACTCTAACTCATCTTTGAATACTCCATCTGTTTGGCGGCCAAATTCAACAAGGTAGGCCAATTTGTTAAAGCCTACGCGCGGTACTTCAATTGAAAAAGTCACGAAAGTTTTGTTCAATTGGGTTTCAAGCAGGTTTAAGTTTTTTTTGAAAAAAAAGTGTTAAGTATGTTCGACAATAACGCTAATTAAAGTTAAGACTCAGCGCATCAATCAACCGAACTAAACATACAAAGCTTTTCTAGGCACTTACCGATTCAATGGCTTTCTCCAAACGGAATATCTCTTCCTGCAAGAGATGTAGAGTTCCTGTTTTGCCGCGATGCCTTGCAAATGCTGCAGCACAGGCGCTATGAATGCTATTAACCCAGTTTTCCAATTCAACCTGAAATTAAAAATTATTTACTTATGTGAGTGTATTGCAAATACATATTACAATTTTATATTAGTTGTGCTTTAGTGTGAGAGCTAGGCGAATTCATACAAGTGGTGTTCATTCATCAGCTGTGAATGTTGTTTGATTGTAAGCGAGTGCAAAGCAACCGTATTTGTATCCTTTTTCCTCAGGAAAGAATAACTGAAATTTGGCAATAGCCTCGAAATGCAAAAACATGTAATTTTTGTATTTGTAGAATCGATATCACTCTATGTGAGTTCGCCTTGTGTTAGGGTTTATATTAAGTATTAAAAACCACCACGACATCGGTGTCCAAAAATATTGTTTTAATACTTTAGTATATGCAGCATTGCATTGTTTCGTGCACCTAAAATTATTGTGAATCCCTTTAAATATTTTTCACCAAATTTAAAATTGAAGTGAAAAATTATGCGACTCAGAAGGTTGTATTTACATACCTATCCTTTGTTTCACTGTTGGGCTCAATATTAAAGTACAAGAAGCTACTATATGAGCAAATCTCAGAGTTGTTTTTTTTTTAGTGTTACTCCCTACTCTCGCCAGAAAAAGAGGCTAAAGCATTCTTCTTGTATTTATTTCAAACAATAGAGTTCCAGACACAAGCAGAATCAAAAATAAATCAAGTATTTGAAAAATTTAAGCCTTAAAAGGTTTATTTAGGCGAAAAAGTACCGAAATTGCTCACTTTTTCATTGTCACTCGAAAATAACATATTCTTTTTTTTTACTAACACTGGGAAGTTTTCAGTTAGAACGTTCATGTTGGAGGCAACGAAAATTGACATCACATGAAATATACCGCTGAAGTTTCAAGAGCGTGCCACCAAATTAATAAGAAATCGTAGCATGTAGAAAATTTGTCGCAACTATTTTGTAATTTTTGATATTTAAGGATTTTTTCATTTTAAAAGTTTAAGTTACTTCAAAATGTTAACATTTAACGGTGAAAATGTTCTTACCAAAACGAACCAATCTATAGAACTAAAACTAGTGTTCCACCAAAAGAAAAAAAAAACGATATTGATTATAAGATGATGATGATCAGCGAAACAAAATTTCAATTTTACAGTTTTTATTGGGACACTCGAAACTCATTCCAAAATTATTATATGCATGAATAAATTAATATATGTATGTATGTATATATTCGTCAAAAAGACTGTAGAAAAGTATTTTACGCCAATATTTAATTATTTTCAAATAAAATTACTCTTAAGTTAAGGTCTGTGAGTAAGCTTACTGTGTATGGTGCTACGGGGCGTATACGTTGCATGCATATCTACGGGCATATGAGTTGTAATATCTACTTTTTAGTATATCTTTTTTAAGTTTTCATTTAAATACAATTTCGCGACGGAATCTTGTTATTTATACAGAAGATATTGCATTGTCTGAGATAAGTGTGCCACCATTTTCGACCAAAAAAAAAAACTTTTTATCGAAAAATTTAACAACTCGTTATATTTGCTCAGAGAAAAAAATTTTATATCTTCACTTCAGGTTAATATTGCCAAGAAGCAATTAGTTAAATATTAAACCAACACATGCTTGCAGGTTTTCCAACATAAAACGACCACCGACTGGGGATATATTCTCGATAAAACTTTGCCTCCATCGCATGTGCACGAAAATCGCTTGCGGCATCAAAAATAAGTCACGCGAAATTACCTAAAGCAGTGTAAAAGACAAAAGTTGTGCAAACTCTTTACCGTGCAGCGTGGCGCACAGTGGAAACGCCCCGGGCAATGCATATGAATTTTCACCTACATACACATGTACATAAGCATGCTATATACTTAAACACACACACATAAACACACGTATCGCCGTATAGAAAAGCACGTTTAATGCGCTGAGATACACATTGTAAAGTTGGGCAAATTTTTTTTTTCGCCGAAGTGCGTTAAGCAAGGACATTTTAGAAGCTCTTAATAATGCACCAATGCTCAGCTGGGAACACGTTTCGATGCACGACGGAGTGTTTGTGCGTTGGCTGCTGGCTGACTGTAGGCGATGACCGCATTCATAATTAATACTTACAGCGCATGCATTCTGAAAGGGGAGGCTTTTCACACACCCAACGACACAGATGCACATGTGCACATGAAAGCAGAGTAGTGACTAACGTCTAATTGTGGGAAGCACCCTAATAAACAAACCTACATACATACGTTTTAAGTAGTTTATAAACTCATGCCCTCACATTTAGTTTTGACGTTTTGGAGTGCGCGTTGCACGGCTGGGTAGAGGACGAACGGCAAAAGGCCGTGTTTATGGTTTCTAAGGCATAGTCAATGCTTTCGAAAGGTCATTTTTCAATTGCGTGCAAAATTAAGTACCCAGTCGCGACCGAGCGCGGTGCACTCACTTTAAAATGCACTGCATTCGACACTTGCAATGCCATGCATTGTATGCACACCTACATATGTACATGCATGCATGCATATACTTATGTTGAGTAAATATCCCGAGATGGCATATGAAAGCGTATAAAATGAACTAACAAAACCAAATGTCCGCGAGCAATGAACTTCTATGGCATTCGTTTTTTTTGTCTACTACTGCCTGCAGCCACTTGCAATGCAAACAACTTTTCTATTCATTGCCTTGGCATATGTATGTATACATTTCTAAGTATTTATGTATGGACATACATGCATAGTATTTAGGTGTGAGATATGCACTGCCCACTACATATGTATGTATGTCGGATGCACACATAGATACCTACATGCTTTAGGCATATTTCGGCGCTTTTCAACAGCTTATATGCCCTATGTATTTAGAGAATTGTTTGTGTAGCGATCGACCGGGTATTCGATATGCTGGGTAAGCGCAATAAGCGTTAATGGAAATTTACTGAATCAATACGCATTTATTTGATTTTGTTGCAGGTTGTTCTGAAATATATTTCCAGCATTCTTTTCTTAACTTTACTCTCGAGCAGACCTACCAGAAAAATTTTTGGATAAAATCTGTCACATGAAAATAAAGTCTCCCAAATCGCGCAAACGGTTGGAATTCGTTATATTTAGATGACTCGGATTGTCGACTAGTTGGGGGTGGCACCGCCCACTTATATGACCAAACTACTCGACCGGTCTCGACCAAATTCGGTACATACATTGTGATTAGCCTCCTTAAGTATCGCCTCCAAAATTTTGAAATCGGACAAGTAGTCTTATATATCATATTAGTGGGCGGGCCATTTTCCTAAAATTTCTTGAAAAACTACCTTTTTGCTATAGAGCGATTGTATTTGTCAATTCTGAATAAATATTGATGAACTCCTTAGCCGCACTGTTAAAAAAATCTAAAATTCCGGTATATACACACATATAAATTCAGGGCCGTATTTAAGAAAAGTCGCCTAAATTCGACAATTTTTATGCGATTGCAATAAATGAGGTATAAGTTTATTTGAAAATAGGCTTAATTTTAGATACTACTCCATGTTTTCAAATTGTAGGAATTATCGATGGTCAAAATTTAAAAAATTAAGAGAAATACGGGTCCTTTTTTAATTTACCCGATAAAAAAACCCAAAAACAAGCCTAGTCCGACAATAGATTATTATATACCATTTCAAAGGCCTATATAACCTCTTCTCGGATCATATTCGACCTTTGAAATCAAAAAATCATAAATCTTCGAAATCGTATTTTCTGATCGAAATCAACCGGTCGCGTCCTCTAAATGACCTCTAAAAGATCTATAAAAATAGGCAATAATATTTCTCATAAAAACTAATAAAATTACGGGGTACGGTCTTGAAATTTCCAAAAAAAAGCATTTTCGATTGGCACCCTAATACGTATGTATATTTAAATACATAAACACATACGAATTTCATTAAGGCAGTTGTGGTCAAATACTACGAGTATAAAACAAAATTGAAAAAGTGGTTTAAGAGACTTTGATATTAGCTAAGTTACCATTAAAGCGTTCGTTCTAAATTTTAACTCGCTTCGCCTTTACAACCAAATTTGATGCCAGACACTTACTTATACGAGCAAAATAGATCGTTCGGATTCATAAGTGCATTGAAATGCTGATTTTATTCAAATCAAATGCAAATACATACATACATACATAGTATATTAATGTCCATACACACGCATATCAGCCCACTAACTCTTAAGGTTGAGCATTACCCGAAATTGCGCTACCGAAAGCGAAATACTTTCAGCATGCATATAAAGTAACTACTATATATACATATACATATTTATCTATGTGTTTGCAGTTATATGTAGGTATTATACGTGCGTAATTTTATGTGTACAAATATATTGATGTTTTAACTATAGATATATTGGTAGACGATTCGCTTGCAAATTGGGAAAATCGAAATATTGGCATGCACCGAAAACTGCACGTAGCAGATTCGACTAAATTGTGTATAAACGCTGCTTAAAAGTACTCAAATCTCGCTGAATTCTCGCCATATTTTTTTTTTTTTGAATTCGTTCGTGTACTACAATGTATGCAACATTGGCGGACCCAAAGGGAGGGGGTGGCTGGATGGCTTCGGGGATTTGGTGTTTCAACCCCAACCTCATATCTTGACCGTAAAAGAGACTTAACTCCCACTATATAAAGAATTACAGACAAATTTGTTGAAAAATCGAGTAAAGTAGATATGAAACTGTAACAATTTCTTGGAATTAATGTATCTACTTTTTATGTAACAAAGTACTCGTGGGTAGTAGCTAGAATAGCGCAAGGCGCGCCGGCGGAGTGCCTACTTATAATGAAATAAAAAATATATATATTTTTTTTGTTGTAATTCACATACAAACTCGCAAATTTATTGAGGTGATTAAATTAGTAGAAATAAATTTTTTTAAGAATGATTTGTCTGAATGGTGTTATGCAAAAGCTGGTGAATTAAGAAATTAGGTTACGGCGCATTATGGGAAAAGTTGCATTTGTTTAAACTAATGAAACCAATTGGAATAAAACAAT